GTCCGCCCGCTCCCGCCTGCCCGGGCCTCGCCCCTTCGCCTCAGCGCGGGGAGGCTGGGGGGTGCGGGGGGTGCGGGCTCCGGTCACCGCCTCTCCCCAGCCCGGCGCTGTCCGCGGGCCCGCCCGCTCCCCGGGCAGCCCTGCCCGCTTCCCCCTGTCGGGGCTTGCCCAGGTGGGGCTCCCTGGAAGTGAACCCCCCCCCGCGACAGGGACGGATGCTGGAGGAGACTGCAGGATTTCCCTGCAGGTTTTGACTAGCGTCGTGAGAAGCGAAAATAAACCTGCTATTAAAACCCAGAAAACCCGGCAAGTCAGTCTTACGTTACGGAATAATGCTCCCTGCGGTTCCACGAGCGCTGCAGCAGGCGGGCAGCCCTCCTCCGTGCGGGTGGTGAGGAGCGGGGTGCCTGGCTCTGTAACTCTCGCCGTGTCTGCAGCGGTGTTATTTGATAAGATAAAAGCGGGGTTACCAGTAGGTGGCCCGGTGGTTTAATACGTGCGACTGTCACCGCTCGGTACCGTTCTTCTCAGCCTGACCTGGCCTCGGGATAGCCCTGGCCAGAGCTGTGTGACTTAACACTCACCTCTCTTGGTCAGAAAAGGGCTGGAACTGAAATCACAGCACAACTGTTAAAATGGGGTCAGCTGAAGGACTGCTTAGACTAATCTCTGTTTATCTGGCTTTTCTCGGTATTGCTAACTTTTATCTAGATCAAGAGAATGAGTTACTTCAGAAAAAAGAATTGTCAGATAAGATGTAAATTCTTTATTCAAATGCACTGAAGCAAAGAAAAAATTGTGTATGTATTGTAGTGTTTGTGTGTGGTTGTCAAAATGTTCACTTGTTCCTTTAAATTGTTGATACATTTGAAAAACGTTTAATGCATAGAATTGCTTGACAGTAACTTTCGAAAAGTAATTTAAGGGTATGTCCTGTCTGCATTGTTGATTTTTATTCTGTATGAAGTGAAGCAATGAGAACACAGTTCTGAAAATATTCAAATACACACACGTTTAACAACGCAGTTGTGTCAACTTTAGTACACTAGTTTGCTAGGTGTATGCTTTTCTGTATTCAGGAGCTTTGCATGTCACTCTTGTTGGTAAGAAAGCTCTTTATAATTTTCTTTTCCTGTTTAGGATGGGGAAGTCAGAGTTCCAAAGTACACATACATCATAGCACATGGCTTCATTTTCCTGGTCACAATTTACGCTGGATATTGACTTTTATCCTCTTGTTTGTGCTGGTGTGTGAAATCGCAGAGGGCATAGTGTCTGATGGGTAAGTGCGTGTCTACCCCTGATAGCGCTGAGTGTTTTAAAGGTTTTGGGGTAGGTATTTTCTCCCTGTCTAAATTCTCATCTAGAAGCATATTCCTTGTGGTTCTAAACATGCAATCTGTATTCTTGGTGATTAACCTACCAACCTTGTATCAGAAATTCCACAGACCTTGCCAAATTATGTACACACGCACAACTGACCTTAATCATTTTTAGTTCAGCTTAATGACACTATCTTTCCCAAGGGTAATCGTAGATAAATCCTAACAATTCAAGCAGATGGTGACATTTTCGTGATGTGTTTTCTGTCCAAGGACCCAGTCCCACAGTCCGTACTAGGCAGAACTCCCATGTGCACAGTAGGTCATATCATTCCCCCGCAAACTGAGTTCTCCTCATCTTAATAACAGGAGTGGATTTACTGGGCCTCATCTCACACCCCATAGAGTTCCTTCTGATATTTGTGCTACCTTGAGCAGAGCAGCTCACATTATATGAGCAGGATCCATCATCTTTTATTCAATTTAGGATGTCTTTAAACAGGAATCTGTGGGGGAAAATTTTATTCCAAGTGCAACAAGTGATAGAGTGATTTATTATGAAAAAAGCTAATGTTGTATAACAATGACTATGATCATCTTCCTCTGAAGAAAGGTCTGATTTTCATAACTGTTACGAATTTGCCACCCAAAGATTATCATAAAGTTGAAGTTCCTTGTTAAACAGAACAACACCTCTGTTTAGCCATCTATGTAACAACTATCCACCAACCAGTAGGAAAGGCACTGCAGTATTCTGCTCTAGAAGCTGATATCATCATTATTATTATAACTTCTCTAAACATATATAAATAGGATGTTTCTCCGTGCCAGGTTTTTTTTAAAGGGAATTTTTCTCATGCTTATTCAGAGTTATCAGAGTGTGGGATGCTTACAGCAAAATCTCTTGCTTTGATTTTTTTTTTTGTCTTATTTTGCTCTTTAGCAATCCCTCTCATTATGTTTATTTGCTATTCAACTTGACTCAGAACGCTGCTGCTGTTAAGTAATAAGTGTCACCTGATGAGAATCAAAGCTTCTAGCTGTACTGGGGGAGTGTCAACCCACAGTCATGCCTCCTGAGCTCTCAGCAGCCTAATGAGTGCTCTAGTGAATAAAAGCAGATTTTGAGACTCATCAGCTTTCTAAGACCAAAATGGATCATGTTGGTAAGTCCTTTTGACAGCAATTGGATGCCAAAGGCTTTGGCACTTCAGCAATAGATGCAGTCTATTGGAGGTATGGTTATATAGGGGAATTCCAGCAACTTCTGTCAGTGCAATAAATAAATGCAAAAAAACCTCCCACTCCTGCAGTGTTACCTACTGAAGCTTAGGCTGCCTAAAGAAATATGTTCATTTTGTTTGTTTTTCCTTGCTGAGAATTCAGCCCTAAAGTACAAAACCCCCTGGCATTAACAGGAGTTCAGAGACTGGAGAACCTCTTCTCATCTTGCTGTATACACATACAGCGTTAAGTGTTTTTTGACACAGGTTGTCAGTGTGGCTCCAGCCAGCTCTGCAGAGTTCACCACAATGTCCCTGTGAGGGAGGGCTTTCCTTTCCCAGTGCAGATGTGGGAAGTGCTCCTCCTGAGTTCCAGCAGAACCGTTAGACATTTGGAATGTTCTGCTCTCATACACCTGATGTCCTGTGATGATCTCTAGCTCCCTGAGGGCACAGCCCCTTGTGTCTCCAAACTACACAAAGGTAGCTTTTGCCGCAGCAAGAACAAATCCAGAGGTGCTAATTTATTTTCCTTGAGGTTCAGAGGACAAGGTGTGAATTTCCCCGAGCATTTGTGTTGTGAGGACTTCCTCTTGGTGCCTTTTCTGCTGGAGCTGGTTGAGGGACAGGGGAAATTGTACCTCTTGACAGCACAGGGCACTCCATTACTTTTGTGAAAGAAAGAAAAGGGGAGAAGGAGAAGATGGCAAGTAGAAGGAAAGTGGGGGGGTGGAAAACATGATTCTACCTACATCTGCACAAACCAACAACATTACCCAACAATTCCCATATTCTCAAAGGGCTGCAGAGGGCAGGACATCCAGCGCTGCTACTTGAAGCAAAGTGTCAGGAGAGTTTTGCTTTGTAGGACAAAACTTGAGGGTATATGATTCTGTTGTAGGTTTTATTTGTTGGCTTGCAGTCACTGAAACCAGAACTCACTGTAAGTAATTCCCATGCTGTCTGTGGTGCTGTTCCTTTTCCCAAACTGGAAAAAGAAAATGTAACATTTCCTCAAAATGTTTCTATAGAAAATCTTAAACTGTGCTGTCAGTTGGTCTTATCTACATAATTTGATGGACAGCTCCCAATCTAGTTTCGCTTAAATTAACTTTTCTCATTTTGGAGCTGAGCTGCTTATCCTAATTTTAATTTCAGTAGGAAATAGGAGTACACACATTTCATTTTCAGCAGAGGGGAGGAACTTGAAATCCAACTATGTGATTTAGGAGCATAAATCCAATTGAAAATTGGAAAGCTTTACACCCATAACTCATTCTAGAAAATCCTACCGTTGGGGCTGGGTACAGGATACAATTCATAACTTAAAAGGGAAACATGTCAATAGCTAACAGGGCTTGATTTTAATAGATGTTCCCTTTTTTTCTTTTTAAGGGTTTCAGATTCACGCCATTTGCACCTGTACATGCCGGCTGGGATGGCGTTCTTGGCGGCCATCACATCGGTTGTCTATTACCATAATATCGAAACATCCAATTTCCCGAAGCTGTTAATTGGTATGTCTCACAACTTACAAGACTGGGAGGTGTGACTGTGGTGCTGTGTGTCTGTCTGTTCTGTGACAGGTCCCTGCAGTCTCGGTGCTAGCTTGTATGAATACAGCGACACCTGTGTTCTGGTCTACTGCTTGCCATTACCAGACTCAGTTCTGAGTTTTCCTGAAACTTCATTGTTTTCAATGCTTTTAACTTCTAATAGCATTCCGTATGGTGTTCTCTGGGGTCCAACGGGCTAACAGCTTCTCTAGGCAAAGCTGGATTTGTGGAAAAATAGCACATCAAATTCTTAACTCTAAAAGCAATCCAAATCCCCTGCTTGTCAGCATGTTGCATTTAAGCGTGATGTAAGATCGAAGCCACCTCTGTGTGTGTGGTCTATTGAAATACACAGGGAGTCAAGGAAAATGAATGACATCACTGACTTTCAGTATGTATCACTTTGCTGCTTCTTGCTTCCTGTTCCTAAAACTCCCTTTGTAAACTGGTTTAAGACGCTTTGAACGGAAAATGCTATGTAGAAGAACTATACATAGTATGGTTTATTTTCTGCAAGACTGCAAATAAACTGTAGCTAGCTATAGGAAATCCGTTACTGCTGACAATCATGCAGTTGGTGACATGTTCTCTACTGTTTAAGTAGATTGCAGGCTGTGGATGTCTACATGTGTAGTCATCCTGTTAGCTGTTATTTCTTTGGTGGTCCTGGCTCATCCAATTTTGTTTGAGCTGGTTTTCTGTATTAATGGATGCTGCTTGTGCCATTGAGGCTCTTTGTATCAAAGAATATGTTCAAGTTTTTGTCAGGTGGTAGAAAGTAAGTTACAACTGGATTTGAGAAAGCTTTTTTTTTTAAAAAAAAAAAAAGTCATTCCCCATTAAAAACTTCAGATTTCTATCTAGGCTTGGCAACCTTTGTGTCTTCTCAATTGGGACAGCTTTTCTTCTTGTACTCTTAACTAGTACCTTTTTTGTATTTTATAACCAGGTGGGATCGTTTAGTTTTTAGTAAGTCAATACAGTCTATTTGATGCCTTCTCGCAGGACTAGACGTTATGTCTCAGGAAAGCATTTCTAGCCTGTTAAAATCACCTGTGGAAAACAAGAAGTGGTTTTCTTGGCTTTTGTTTCTTTTGTTATTTCAGATGTATAAGGCAGTGTTTAATTTAGTGTCTCTACTGCATTCCTGCTGTTAAGTCATTGAGAAGGGGAGCACAAATTTACAGCTGGTAATTGATGACCCATTTTTGCATAATCCTTTCTCTATAGAGATTTCTCTTTTATGATATTTCTGTTCAGTAGTTAGAGTGCTGATGCTGGATAAACTCTGGACAATACTTGAATAGTAAACAGTTATACGAGTGAATACCAACATTTAAGTAATTGTTATTTATCCTAAAGTTAATAATTATAAATTTTCATTTTGTAAGAATTTCCAAAGAATAGACTTGTTTAGAAAATCTAATCTTGATAACTGACTTTTAAGCAAAAAGGAAAATCAGACTACCATGGTCTTTTCCACTTAGTTGGTCTGATTTGATTTTTTATCCAAAGTCTTCACAAGCTGATGGTCTTTGATTTTTATTTTATTTTTGGCTTTAGTTTTGTTCTGTTTTGTTTTCATTTGTTTGCATTTGTGAGAGAACCCAAGGCAGATATTTCTGTAAGTCTCCATCCTTTATTCTTGACTGTACAAATTTATTGTTAACTAATTGCAAGGATTGTCATCTTTCAGTGTTAATTGCAGCTACTTTGTATTGACATCCAGAACTACGTGATGATGACTTTATGCCAACTGGCCCAGTATCAGATAGTTAAATTATACCTATACTCAGCTGCCAACCCACTAGAGTGCAGTGTGGCCATGAAGCAGCTTGCTTCTAGAGCCAAATACAAGTGAAGAAAATGGGAACCATAAGGAAAAGCTTAAGTTGGTGATAAAATTTTTGTTGAGTGTATGAGAAAGGAAACCCAAAGAGGGTTCTTCATTAGTAAAATCTAGAGAAGATCTAATGTTACACACATGTACACACACAGAGTAAAGTAGAGTGCCAGATGTGGAATCTTCTGCTACTTCTGAGCATTGGTGATGTTCCACCTTACTGCAGGACATCATCTGCCTCAGCTGTGAGATCAATGCCTACACTTGCAAAGAGTTGGTAGCTGTACAAAGCAAAGTCTAACGGAGCCTTATCCAAAGTTCACTAAATCCAGTGGGAAAACTCTCGCTGATGCAGTACAGAAGACCCTTACAGGTCTGTTCATTAATTCTGAACAGGTTAAATTTTCCAATCCTGTGAAACTTTGAGATGCTTGCTTTTTTTAAAACCTTTTTCACTCTGTACCTTAAAGAAACAAAATTTGTTTGTAGTTCTTCATAAACAAGCAAGAGGCAGATACCATAACAGACCTGGGGATTAACACATTCCCTTGGGGAATGCAAGACAAGGACGCAAAGTTCCTGTACTGAACCTGCCTGCCAGCTTTTACGTCCAGGCTCTTGGCTTATTTGAAGTAGTCATCCTTACTATCTCTTATTAAAAAAAAAAAAAAGTTGACAAGGTTTAAAGTATTTATTCTCTGAAGCTAATGATTGAGTCCAGTGTAGTGCTATTTATCAGGGGACTCTCGTAATAGTGTTAATTTTGGTGCTCTTTGCACAGTGTTGCAGAATTGGATGCATAGCAGTTGTACAGTCTAGCAGGACACATTTTAGAATAGTTTTCATACTGAATTAGAAAATCTGCTTTTCAGTGTACAAAATATGTAATTGAATGGTAGCATCTGATTGCATTATTTTTTTAAATTAACCTCAGAAATTAAACAGAGAAAATTATGAAATAACAACAGGACTTTGAGGTTTTAATCTGAAAGAGAAAGTAGTATAGCAACATGTGATTTATTAATTTTTTTATTTAAGAAAATTGTCTTTTTTTTCCCCAATCATAATTACAGGACTTCCTTATAATTCCTGACAGTAATCTAGTTTTCTAATTTCAACTTCTTGTACCTTGACAGTGTAGTTAATTCCCTTGGAATTAGTTTATTGTTTAAAATGAAACTTCCTGTTATTATATAAATATAATGCTTATTGCTTAGTAGACAAAATTTCTCTCCAAATAGATCCAGGTTAATCAATAAATCCCATCCAGTTTAGTGTGTGGTTTTTCAAATCTTGGGCTTCATCCAATAAAGGTGTAGAACAGTTTGGGTTCCATATTGCTTAATTCTCAGCAGTGAGAATCTACACTCCGGTGTTGTGGGTTGAGGTAGCTTACACAGCTCAAGAAAAATCGAGGTTCTTTAGGCTGCAGCCATCTGGAATAGATCTAAAGCAATCAAGTAAGTGAAAGCATGCCTCTGTGGTCTGATCACTGGGCACTCAGGCTAGTGGAAGGTCTTGGTGATAATTTCTAGAAACTCTCAGCCAATATGCACTCACCAGCCAGATGATAAAAGCACAGCTTAATAGAAATAGCCATAACTGTATTTTCCAAGGAGCCTTATCTTGAGAGACCTGTGAACAGCTGCCAGATTAGATTATATACACTTGTATACAAGAGTGAGAGGCTAAGTAAATCCAAATGTTTCTAGGAGGTATGACAGTGGGAGGTCAGTTATCATCTGAGAATCTTGCATTTGGCACTTTCTAATACTTGGATAAAAGGTAAATGAATGTTCTAATAAAATAATTTTAAAAGGTCATATAGATTGTTATTTACATCCTATATAGGAGAATGGCTCTGCCAGTTCTTATTTCTAATTCTAAGAGCTTTACATCCAATCCAGTTGGATTGGCTGTTTTTTTAGCTGTCCTCTGCTGGTGTAAATTTTCAGTGCACTATGTTTGTGTAAGCCCTCTTTACTTGAAGAAGGATGTTTTCTCAGCCTGTTGTAAACAGAATGAGACAAAACACAAGGATTAATAGATAAAAGTAGTTAGGAGTAGAACCATGTGGAATGTACTCTTGGATGAAGTGAGATTTTAATCAGACCTGTTGCAAATAGGGGGGAATAGTGCCTCAAAGGTAGGAAACAGCCTGAAGCAGGATGAGGAGGTTATATTTGATGCGGTATAAACTGGGGAGATGGTAGGAAGCCCCACACAAGGCTACAGTTTTGTAAGAGCGATTCTGTAAGTATGTCTCTTAAATTCTCTCTGCAGCTGCATCAGCCACTAAAATACAGTACTGAAATACCTGACCTCTTAGTGCTTTCTTCTTACAAACTGGCCTATTAATTTTAGAGGAAGATAGACTCTCTTGGCAATGTCTTAATGCCCAGTACTCCTGTACTGTTCCATTTACTGTCATTTAAATGAGAGTTTTGAAATTGATTTCTATAGAAGCAGGATCGGCACCCCCAAATCCCATACAGACTCTCCGAGTTGAATTGAGTTTTTCTTGGAAAGTACATCCCCACAGGGCTTTCTGGAGTGCTTCAGGGTAGCTGAAACACCACAAATTCTGTGCAGTTTTTGCAAGTTCCTGATGAATATCCATATTTGTAAGTTAGTCTTACAGTTGGTAGTGGCTTGGCTGAAGACTTTCTCTGGTTTTGCAGCAAGACACCCGTAAAGTATAAATACATCTTTCTTGGCAGCTAGAGCATATTCCAGCTGTTGCACCATGACAGATACAACAGCAATGAAAGATTCATGTAAAAGAACATAACCCTAGAAGGTATTTCCTTAAGCACGGGGAACAGGAGCTGGCTGATAGAGTGGTGAATGGCATGGAGTGTGTTTCCAAATCACCGGAGCTTACTGCAGGGGTTGTTTGTCTATAACTGACAGTAGCATGAGCACTTTTGGACAAGAAGGTCAGCAGAACTCCAAAAAGCTAATGTCGTATTCTACAAATGCCAGAACATCCTTCCTTGATGTACCCGTGTATGCACATAAATTGCATGTATGGAATTTGCGTTGAATAGAATAGAGCAGCAGCAGTTTGGAGAAGATATTTTAATATCTGTTCCTGTACACATCCCAGAGATCTACCATAGGAATGAGATCAATTTTCCTTCAAGGCAAATTCATAGCAATCTTGTAGCTTTAACCAAATTTGAAGAAGAGCATTCACAGCCACCTTGACTTGTGGGGCAACTCCCTCCCTTGAACTCATCATGTGGTTGTATGTTTACAACAGATGGAAATTTCCTTCAGCAGATTTCACTTTGTGAAACTTTCCAAATATCACTTAATCTAATTGGAAAGGAATTTGGAACTAACATTATCGCAATATTTTCATGTTTCTGGAATTGAATTAGGCTTCTGTTTTGACATGAGAAAGGCCACTCTTTGGTTTCATATATTCTTGTTGCATTCTTTCTGAATGAGTATTTAATACTGCTATTGTATATTTTTGCAACTGTGAAGCTTGTTAACTTTTTTTCCCCCCTACAGCATTGCTATTCTACTGGACTTTAGCTTTCATAACTAAAACCATCAAATTTGTAAAGTTCTGTGATAATGGAGTTGGATTTTCGCAGCTTCGGTTTTGCCTCACAGGACTCCTGGTTGTTCTATATGGAATGCTACTAGCTGTAGAAATTAATGTCATCAGGGTGAGGGTAAGTTTGTATTGTAAAAATCTCCTTCTGTGTTTTTTTGTTTTGCCTTTTTTTTTTTTTTTCAATTCTCCTTTCTGGATACTTAGTGTGAAATGCATTTCTAAATGACAGAAAAAAATCCAGTTAGAAATAGAAATATATTTGAAAATCAAAGGTTAATCCAATTTTATTAGGCCAGATGAATCCATAATTTCAAAAAATGCCAGACTCCATTATAGTTAAATTAAGATTAATTTCATCTGTTTAACTTTGTTTTAAAAATGTCTATTATGATTCACAGTTGCAGTCATCAGAAACAAGTATTTCTGATGCAAGGAAAGACTGGGTGAAAGGAATTGTCAGCTCTATCGGAGAATGTCTTAGACACACAAATAACATCTCTCATTTTCCAGGAGACAATCACAATAAGGGATTTATTTGGGTGACTGGGGTTGCTATCTAACCTCACAGCTATGTATAGATCTTTTTCATCTGTGGTGTCTACAGTCATTGTCCAAATTGAGTGATGACTTTGGAGACTACTGGATAGATAAATGCCAAAGTTGTTCCCTTCACCTGTCCCTGTGTGCACAAATTAAACTTAGTCTTTGGAGGGGAAGAAATTTTTCCCTGCAAAGTTTCTTGCTGCTTCCCTCACATGTGGGGAAGCAGGAGTATGTGAACTCTTTCCAGTGACGCATTCAGCAAGTGAGTTGTGCCATCATGTGTTTGATCTTTTTGTGATATTCTTGGGGATTTTGTGTGTCTGTGTTTATCTGATAGCTTAGGACAAAGATATGTCTAAAAGCAGCCTTTTCAGTAATGTTTATGAAAGAAAGAGGAATGAAAACCTCAATGCTGAATATTCAGTATATATATCATAAATGAAAAAAAGTGCATTGATTTATGGAAAAAGTGAAATTCAAATGTGACATCAGAGGGACTTGCTGATAAACCTCATAATAGAATAGCATAATTAAATGAGATTTATTCACTGTGGAATTATAGGTCACAAAGAAGAATAAAAAATGGTCACTGCCTGCTGTCATTTTTTTAATGTCGTATCTGTTTGAATTATTAAAGGATGTCATTGATGCATAGAATGAACTACCCAGCAGTATGGATTTTTTTACTGCCTATTAAGTCTATGGCAGAGTTTGGAGAACCAGGCTTGTTGCTGCAGCTGCTGAAGGAAAGGTTTGGGATGCATGGAGAGTTGGCCTCTGTTGAGGGGAGGTGGGGAGAAAAATAAAAATAAGGGGTGAGGTCTCTGTGGTACCAGAAACAGGAGACATTGGCCTCACTTTTTTTCCCCTGCTGTCCCCATCTTCTTCCAGAATACAGAAGATTGACTTGTTTATATTTCAATCCCAATTGTACCTTCTCCCTTCCTTCTGCTGTTCCCACTGTTACTCTAGATGGCCTTTCCCAACCCTAACACTCCTTTTTTCCAGGATCTGAGAATTATTTCTGCAGATATGACTGGATAAAAGATAGCAGTGAAACATATCCAGAAATCCTACTAAGATTAATAGGATTTAGGTACAGTCGTGAGTAGAGATTGAATGAAATAGATGATTGAGTACTTTTCTGAAGGGAAAGGTGTATTTTTAAGAAGCTTGGCTTTTCATTCCCCAAAATGAGTGATGTCTGAGAAAGTTTTATCTTGACAACAGGAAATCATGAGCAGTCGGCCCTCTCTCTTTCGGCGTTTAAGCCAACAAAAGCATTTGTTAATGCCATCTGCACTCTCTAGTTCAGCGATGTCCCAGAGCCATACAGGACAGCACAGGCAGCTCCATATTCTGAGCTGACAAGACGTGAGGCAGTGTGGTGTGGAGGATGGTGATAGCCTCAGGGCTGTCCCTAAGTTAAACATGTCCCATGTGCTGGCTGGAACTCGGAGTGAGAGACTGGGGCTGTACTATTTTAAGTGTAAGGTATTTTTTTCCTACATCTACAAGTATGCAAATTTGCACCCCATAAACAAAGTAATAGTGAATGTTTAGGATTGTTTATTTCTAGACTGGATGCCTTTGGTTTTCCTCAGCACCTGAGGAAGCTGGATTGCTGTCTTGGATGGATTTGAATGCTTAAGTTCCTTGAGTACTTTTGAGAAACCAAGACTGATTCATTGATTATCTGCAATGTCCTTTATATCTTATCTATTCTTTGTGGACTTTTATTTTCTATGTATTTAATGTGATTGTTTTGGTATATTTCTGAATTTCAGAGGTATGTTTTCTTCAAAACTCCTAAAGAAGTTAAACCTCCTGAGGATCTCCAGGACCTTGGTGTTCGATTCTTACAGCCATTTGTGAATCTGTTATCCAAAGGAACGTACTGGTGGATGAACACATTCATCAAGACTGCCCATAAAAAACCAATAGACCTGAAAACCATAGGCAAGCTTCCCATTGCTATGAGAGCTGTGACCAATTACATTCGCCTTAATGAGGCCTTTGAAGCACAGAAGGTATGCAAAGCATGGAATTATGTCTATCTGCTTACTCAGTGCTTGCATTTTTAATTACTTTTTATGCTATAAGGATGATATAAAATTTTATAAACAGACATGATGCAAATGAAGTATCCATTAACATAGCTTTCCATATACGAAGAGGTCACATACTCAGCTGTACCTCCTACAAATAATGAAATTTCTCTACCTAAACATGTCAAACACATTACTAGTTAAACGCATGTAAAATTCATATTACCTCTCTTTTGATGTGGAAAGTAATTATGGACTTTATTCGCCGAACACCATTATCGTTCTTCCTAATAAGACCCTGGAATCATTCAATTACAGAATCAATGTTAATGAGGCCTCACAGGACTATTTTTTTCCATGTTATTTCCCTTACAGTTTATCCATAGGAGAATTCAGGGCTGAAACTACCACAGCTCAAATTCCATTTGACTCTCTGGTGGGTCCTAATTGTATTCAGGATCTTAAGAGAAGTATTTTGCATCATGTCTGAAAAGAGTGTAGGTTTCCAGTCTCCATGTTCACAGGAAAACAAAACCTGTCAGTTCTCCCCTTTTATTCTTTCTCCCCCAGCAACCCACAAACGACACACTTATTTGATCCCTATTGAAGGGAGGAAATAAATCATGGTTCTTTTTGTGAAGTGGAGGAGAGTAGAAATGAATGCTTTGTTCTGACTCTATAAAAACAAACGAGACAATAATTATAGTTCCTGTGTTTTTCTAGCTGAAAGGTTGCAACTTGTTGTCAATGAATTAAAGCAGGGATAAAAATACCAATAATTTATCAGGTCTGAGGTTAATGTACAACATAATCCTTACTGATTTTTTTTTTATTCTGAGCAGAACAAAAGGTCATCATCTCCACAAGGATCCAGATCAATTTGGCGAGCTCTCTGCTGTGCTTTTGGAAGACCCTTACTTCTCAGTAGCACATTCCGTATTCTGGCTGACTTGCTTGGATTTGCTGGTCCACTCTGCATCTCTGGGATTGTTCACAATGTTGGAAAAGGAAATAACACCATTCGCCCACAGGTACTGTCAAAATGTCATAAAAATAGAGGAGTCAAAAAAGGTAATGCTATGACTATGTATTATTTGACCTCAGTAAAGAAAGTGACTGCAATGTATTTGCGAATGCTAGAACTGACAGTATGTATGTACTGTTTATTATTCATTTTTATATCTTGATGGGGAAAAAAATACATCGCCCACACATCTAGTCAGGCTTGCGTTCTGGAAAATAACCTCATTCAAGATAACGGTCAAGCATATCCAGAATCTCATTAGTATCATAAGGATTTTAGGTACAGTCTTGAGTAGATATTGAATCAAGTATATAACAGTGATTTCCAGAAAGGAAAAAGTGTTTTTAATAGACTTGGCTTTTCATTTCCAAAAGTGAGTGATGTCTAAGAGGATTAAAGCAGGCTTTTGTTATCACAAAATGCCAAGTAATTTAACTGTGACAAGGAATTTCCACTAGTGTCTTTGGGGAGGTTGGTTTTGAAAGATCACCTGAAACATTTTTAAAGGATGCTATTTAAATCAATATTTGCCAAGAAGAAATGGACATACTTCTTGACTAACTAAAAAACCAACGACCTAACTCAGGAAGCATCTTCTCATTATAAGGTGGGGTCACTCAGGCTGGATTTCTATGAGAAAATCAATTTATTTCTGCAGCTCGCTTATTGTTTGATATCAGACTTTATTTCCAGAGTTTGTTGACACTGATGGAAATATACCCATTCATACAAGTACACTTTGGATTAGGTCCACTGTAAATATGGAAATACATCAGATGCATTGCAGAAAATTTAACAAAGGCCTCAGGCTAAAATGAATTGGTTATCTGTTTTGCAATTCTTATCCTAATATTTGGAAACTTTAATATAGCAAGAGGATTCAGTGGAAACCAGTTAAAGCAGGAAATGAAAAATTTAGGACTTTAGGGCTATGTTACAGCAAAGTACTGTGGGAGCTTTTGAGATCTGCTTGATAATTTGTTTGGAATACTGTTTCAGCTGAAATTATATAGAATCAAAATTTATGGATTATCCTATTTAATTTTCCTATTAAAGTGACAGCTTGTGCTTCTCTGAGAAAAACTCAGGTCTGGCACAGATAGGCCCTAAAGAGAGCCTCATCCAGCCTTGACATCCTCCCTGTGTCTAGTTAAGCGGTAGCCTCATCGTTGTTATTTACACCGTTTGTGCGTCACCCAACAGCAGTATTCACTGGTGGTGATAGTCCATGAGTGACACTTAAGGGTATATTTTTACCTTTGCTAAAAAGTCTCTAAGGTTTTTCCTTCTGTTTTGACCTGGTTTATACACTTTGTTTTCTGTTAAGAGGCTTAATTACTTTTACATTTGAAAATTGCTTTTGAATGATGAGGTGAAATATCTTTCTAAAAATGTATGAAGGCTTTCTGTTCAAAGCATCTGAAACAGACTGAGGTGTTCAGGAAAACTCCCACATGTATGCGCATACCTAGCCAACTGGATCTACTTTGGGAAAAAATACACCAGCTCTATACTAGGAATATTATACCCTTACTTGTAATAAGTCAAAAAAGGAGAAGCTTGTCTCAGTGTTTTCTCCTGAAAGATACATATGTGTGAGAAACAGGCCTTCTAAAACACTGCCTTCTGAAGGCAAAGATATGGTGGGGGCAATCATTGTTTGTGGCTGATGTGCTTCTGAGTTTGAGGGTGTTGAAGAGAATTGCCATGCAGTGGGACAGAATCGGACAAGCAACGTAAGCTGTGAGTACAGTGGAGAGTGACTTTTACCCATCCCTTAAAGTGACAGTTCTCCATTTTAAATAGTTTAGATTGAAGAGATGTTGTAATGAGTCAACTCTATCTTGCAAACAGAAATTCTCTTTATGAAACTGAAGGCAAAGAGATAATTCTGAAGATAGAATATTTGCTCATTCTTCAGACCCTTTGTGACAGATATAAACTACCGTGGAGCTGGAACTCTGAGATCACGTGTGTGTCATGGGCAGTATTAACTGCTTTAGTTAGTGCCGCAGTTAGTCAGAGCACAACAGCATCTTACATTCTGTCACGCTCTTCATGTTTATTTATAACTCCATTATCAATATTTATGGCCACACAGGAACATTCCTATGACATGAATTTCTCTGAGTGTTAATCATTTCACACTGAAGAGGAGGCTAACAGAATTTTGTATTTTGCTGGTAGCATCTTCCACATTCCAATGTTAGGATTAGCAGTTCCAGTATTAGGAGTGTCTGCTGACATAACACATTCTAATGATACACCAAACTTACATACTTACTATTTTAAAAGCTCTAGAAGCCATAGGTCCCAGTGTAGCAAAAGGTCCAGTATTGATATTTAAGACTGTGAGTCTAGGGTCTTTAAGTATTTAGATAGTAGCCTCTTGCTCAGCCTGTTACTGGTTAGAGCCTACTGGCACTTTAAAAAAGTGGTATTATCCTGAAGTCATCAGGAATGTGGGACACTGAATATTTCCAGAGCCATTTCTGAAAATAAAACATCTCATTAGTTCCATCAAGCTTCTCAAACAAGGTTATTTGCCTTATATGCAAAAGGTTTAGTAGATGTTCAGTTATTACCTTGTGTTTCCTGCAAGCTGACAAGTGTACGTAGGCAGCTATTGTAGTTTAAACACATAGATGCTGTGGGATTTTGTAAACCATAATGGCCTGATAATGCACCTGAGACTTGGCAAATATCTTGGCGCTTTCACCAAGTGTGTGATGTTTATGTTTGTGGTTCGTGACTGTAATAATGCTGTACAGAGTGTTTCTCTTTGCTGTCAAGTTGGTATTTTGACAATCAGGATCTCCCAGTGTTGCAGACTTATATGTCCTAGCTTTGCCTTCATAAGAAGCTTTTTTTATATTTTAATGGGTTAGAGATGCAGCTTTTTCCTGGATGATCCTATATTGAAATTAAAAGAAATTCCAGTGAAGAACTGCTAATATTTGCTGACTTCAGAAAGGGTAACTCAGAGGAAGGATGATCACTGTTGCAAGTTAACAAAATATGACTGAGGTGAAAACATCACAATTATAAATGATCTGGTTTTCCCCAATGTGCCTTTCCTTTTTTTCTTTTTTTTTTTTTTTTTTTTTTTTTTTTTTTTTTTTTTAAATCACCAAGTTTTGCAGTTAAACACTGTTTCACATTCTATTTTGTATCTGAGTATGTGAGTACATATACACTGCACAGGAAACAATAGTGTTTCTTAAACTTGTACAATTAAGCACCAGGGGCAGTTCTTCCACCTTACATGTGCCTAATGCTTTATGCTTATGAGCATAAATATTAAAAGAGTCTGAAGGATAAATTGGATGCATCTAATTGGCCATGGACTTGGCCAATTTGTGAATTTCTCTTCTTTTTTTCTGTCAAGGCTTTATGGGTAGCATGGAAAAGATTTAGTTGTATTTGTAACTTTTCAGACCTGTGGTACATTTTCTAAAGTTTCCAGGCTAAATGTAGAGCCTTGAGTCTTCCTTCTTATTCTTCAGATTTACAGCAAGAATAAATTTACAACCACAGTTACCTCTTGCTCAAAAGTGTCAAAAGCAAGTTAACTTGATTTAAAAAACCGAGCTTATAAAATTGTAAATAATCTGGAAGAAAGACTCACTTTTATTGTACCATAGACTTTTAGTAGTACATAACACTGCTGTAGCCTATTTGAATAACTATGGAATAGGTAATAATTTAGGGTTTAAAATCCCTTTAAGGTACAAATAACTAAAACTGTAGTTAAATGTCGCTTTATCTGAACATAATTGCTCTTTTAGCTGGCTCAGCCTCATCTTATAAAAGCAAAGCTTTAAAAACTAAGTTAAGCCTCTCTATTAACTTGTCATGTGGGGTTTCTATAAACAGTTAAGTGTAAGGTGCTGATCAGATCTAATAAAATGTACAGACAGTGAGAATTTGTGAAATATAGTTTATTAAATGTTATAGCAATCTTGAAAACATCAACAGCAAAGAAACTGTAGGCAAGAAGAAATGTGATGAGCAAGGAATACAGCAGGAGTGTAAATTACAAGAAGCCCTCTGAGAGGAAATAAAGTGACCTCTTCCTAATTTTGCTTTTAATGGCAGCATAAGCCAGCAATCAAAGTTATAAAGAAGCAAAGGGACGAAAGAGGAAGGCAGACATTTTAGTCTCAAAAGGCTTCCCAAGGCAAGACAGTCTCTCAAATAGTTGTAGCACCAAAGGTGTCTGCTTGTTAAATATGATCTAGAATAAATGCACTGTGTTCCCAGTAAGCTATAGACATGCTTCAGAATGCACTTCTGTGATCCCATGAACTTGCTGGGAGGTAATGACCAGAAATAAAAATGCTGAACTAGATGCTGCAAACCAAAATAATGTGCATAGTTCCAGGAGTTAAAAGGATACGTTTTCAACAAGTGAAGGTCATTTGAATGCTCTGTAACCTGAGGTGCTAAAATAAGAGGACTGATTTCTCCAAGGGGATGTTTACTAGTCCTTTCTGACAATGGGCAGTGCACATCTTTTAGCAAATGACCATATGGAGTTACTCAAACCATCCTACGGTTTTGGAATGATATCAGAAATCATATAAACATCATTCTGCATTTTAAATAGTTTACTGAGTTGGTATATGACTCTTTCCTTGAATTGATAAACTGAGGTTTCAGGTTGGGAGCATTTTCAAAGAAATAAACCATGGTTATCTCTGCTTATTAATTGTGCAAAACTGGTAATTAAATTACTATTACATCTGATTTCTAACTTTCTTTTTTTTATAGATTAAAATTCTTGGTGTTTTTTTTATTTCATCTCAAGAGTTCCTGTCCAATGCTTATGTTTTGGCTGTACTCCTATTTTTTGCCCTTCTGTTGCAAAGGACATTTCTGCAAGCATCCTACTATGTTGCTATTGAAACGGGAATCAACTTAAGAGGCGCAATACAGGTAGCCAATATATTATTAAATAGGTGATTTTCATGCAATCGTACATGTATTTGTAAATAAAAATGATAATCATAGTTGTAAAATTCTGAAATGCTTCTCTCCTAAAATGTACTGAATGCAATTGTTGCCATTAAAGATTGTGTTAACTTAGACCTACCTGCATTCTCTTTCTTCTGCATCTTATTTTATGATTTTATATAAGCGTTTATTTGTAATATGTAGTATTTCTGCTTACCTTTGAGCATAAATTTGCTGACAGTGAAACCAAATGTAAATTTTGAAAGAATTAAGGTTGTGAACTACACCTCTCCCATCTCAAAGGCACATTTTTGTAACATCCCATGCAAATAATACAGCTTTAAAATGTCTCATATACTTTGAACAAACGGATAGGTTGTATTCCCAATGCATGGAGTGGTGTCTTATTCCATGGGTCATGCCACAAAATCTGCCAAGCATTGCGGAGTCTGCAATTACTGAACATAAGTAAGACTGGTAAAATGGAGTCCATAATCATTGTATAACTGTGAACAGCAGATCAAAGTTTTATGTAGTATACAAAGATCTGTGCCTGGAAATGAGAGAATTAGGTGTAAGATTACAATGTGCTATTGCCAAGGGCACTGGCTGAAACCTACCCTCTGACAGCTTGAAAGCCAGCTTTATAAGTTACACTGTTTAGCCACTGAAACTACATCGATCCTGTGAGAGTCTGTGTGATAGATGGATGCTTTCAATAACAGCCTAATTGTTTAATCCTCTTTTGATCTTACACTTGGAAGCACTCGTCAGCTGCCAGACTTCTGGATTCCATCCATTTGGTTTTCCCTTATTAGAGTGAAGTAGAAAATTCCTAAAGAAATAAAAATTTGACCCAAAATGTACATTAAAAAAATTGCATGTCTTGCATCAAGCAGAAGAGCTGCAGCTAACTGAAAAATATGTGGACCACAGCAGATTTAAAAGGGGGATTGTTGGAAAATAGTGCTACAGGAATTTTGTTTAAGAAAAGCTTTGTATTCTCTGCACTGGATATTACACAGAGGCCCGGATTACATCAACAGTTGGACCGTTCAAATTGGAAAGTTTCTAGCCATCACTCTAAGCAGCTGAATTAGTGTTAATGGCAGTACCTGTGCCAATATTTTTATACATTTTTTCCCCTCTAATTTGTCAATTTTCTTTAAACCTTTTATCTCTTTCCCCTTTGTAAACTTGCACCTGTTCAATGTGCCCTGTATGAATTTATGCTTCATGATGGACAGTTGGCACTTGATCTAAAGGCACTTACTGGATCAAGGTGCCTCCTCTCAGCTAAATCTCGTGACTGCAAAGCATTACCAAACCAGCTGGTAAAAGTACACTTTCATTATTATGTATTAAGCTATTTTTATACGTGCTGCCTGATTCTGCACTGAGGCAACTACTTAGTACAGAATTGGACCTGTCACACTAGTTGCCTGTGAATTAAACTTTGTAATGGGACTGAGCTCCCTACCCAAAATGTAGCAACATTCTCAGCCAAGAACATGGTTCTGAGGTTGGATGGGACCTGAATCAATTGCCAGAGAAAAAATAACAAGGATTCTAATATACTGACAATTATATATTGAATGTAATAATAGTATTTTATTAGCAATAGTTCCAGCAGGGGCACTCCGTGGAAAAGCTGGAGGTGAAAATCGTAGTTAATATGGTTCTTGGGCCTTTATGGGAAGTAAAGGTTTAATTCTCTTACTGATCCACAGGGATGCAAAAAGGGAGTACTCGGACAACCATTATGTACCTAATTATGCTGCGCTTTTTGTAGGTGAACAATAAGACAGTAGCTTAAAATGTTTCATTATAACACAAAACACCAAGCTTTAAGCTCCTCATTCAAGTCACTGGGAATGTTGGTTTCCCTCCGCATGCTGGGCGACACCTGTGTTTTAGATGGTGCTAGAAATCTTTATATTTCTCTATGCTAATATCTTTTGATCTCATGTTCCAGACAAAAATATACAATAAAATTATGCAGCTTTCAACCTCTAACATGTCTATGGGGGAGATGACTGCAGGCCAGATCTGTAACCTGGTTGCCATAGACACAAATCAGCTGATGTGGTTTTTTTTCCTCTGCCCTAACCTTTGGGCTATGCCAGTACAGGTAAGAAGACTGAACAAGCTTTTGTTATTCATGTCATCAGTCTGTAGTGACTGATTGCTTCTGAATTTTATGAAAGGAGAGATATTGATTTAACGAGATAAGATTCAAGCTAATAATATCTAGAAACGTTGTATAGAATATATTTATATATTTTATATCTGTGACAGGACTCTAGGTATTTAGGATTGTATTAGGATCTTGACTGCTGCCAAACATACTTTGCATTTGTAACAAGAATTTATAGTGTGCAGCAGGATGTGTTATTCCAGTATGTTAATTTATTACATCAGGGGAGTTAACTGGAATGTATTGCAAGCATTTGTCTTCTGAATCCCCACAGAAGCAAGAGAAGCAGCAGTTTATTAAAAAATATGATCACTTAGAGGTGATCCTTTGGACATCCCGTAAAACTGCTGCTGCCTCATGGATGACATTCTAGCATACAAAATTCCACAGATTTATTTGTTATATGAAATGGTTTTGCTACTTCATTCTCTCTTGTGTTTTTTTGTTCTCCCGTATTTAAACACCACTCTCATCCCTTCAATCTCCTTTCCCACATACATGACGTGGGGCAGATCACTGTTCTGAGTCATGCTCAGTTGCTCAGTTGCCTGGTGACTCTTGGTTCCATGTCCTGTAGCCTCATGGTATGTGTAATGGCCATCAGGAGCTCTGGATTCATTTCTGACAGTACAGATACATAATAGAATTGAGTGGGTTTTATAGTTTTTCCTGTCAAAGCCAAGAGGTTTTGGGCAAGTTGCTACAGATCAAATGAGCAAGTCTTCCTTCGTGATAGTCTTAAAATCATCTAATTGCGTAGTAAAGCAGATTAATGTACTAACCTGGAAAAAAAAACCTAGTTTAACTATTTTCCCTGGAATTGTTTTTTTCCTCACTGAGGAAAATACTGGGGAGGAGTAATGCAGGTCCTTCTTCTTTGTCAGTGATAATGAATTCTTGAATGCATCATGTGTACCTCAGTCATTGGGGAGTATTTGTTTTCTGGAAAACCAATTAGTGTCCTCTTGAAATACTCTGGGAGTCTTCACACTTTTGCTGTATGTGTTTGAAACCTAATATGTTACCATATGTCTTCTGGTATCTCTGTTGTAGTAAGGGGTATATTGCTTCTGAGACTGCAATAGGGCCTGGAGGGAGAAGAAATATGTCAGAATCTTTGGTAAAACTCTCGCTGGCTCCAGCAAGAGTTGTGTAAAGCCTCAATCAGGGTTATGAGCACAGTGGGGTGTAAACAGTCAACAACTTATTAACTGATGATTTATTTTAACCATGCTTTTTTGCCTAGGGTTTGCCTTTACTCTAATGCAAGTGTGTGAGCTGTATATAACTATACCTGTTAAAATACTAAGATGTAAAGTGCTTGTAGTCATATTTATACAGGCCATAGTATGGCTGCCTCCATACAGTATAAATGCATTTTGTCTTTCTTGTGCAGGAATAACTGCATCAGGGTATAGATTAGTTTTCCTGATCCTGGAGAGGCTTATGTGCCAGTTAAACACATTTTACTTTCTAGAATTAAAAAAAGGGTGATCGATATAGCAATTATCAGCAGGATTTTCTCAGAAAGAAACAACTTATTTTTTAACATCAGGATGGTTTCCCCAAAATTATGGGGTGGGAAAAATGGGAACTAGATTAAAGTGGGTAAAGAACCCAAAGGATCAAGGAACATGTGCTAATATTGATTTTTAATTACAAAAGAGAAGACAACTAAAATGAAAAGAAACTGATATGAAATATCCTAATAAGTATGGTTACACGTTGGGAATTTGTTGGCGGTAACTTGGGTATCAGAGTATTTTTTGCTCATTGACTAGAAGGACCCTGCGGGACGATGTCAGTGAAATGCTGCTAAAATGATATTGCTCAAAGCTATGAGGCATTAAGAAGAGTCCGCCCCTTTAATGATAATGTTTAGGGTCCAATTATCCCCTAGGCTTAGTCTCCACTGTAAATCTGTTAATAAAACAGGCTATGTGAGAGGTGCCAGTTTAATGTATGGTTTTTGTAAGACCACTCGGTCAGCTCAGGGTAGAGAGAGCTTTAGCACAACTGAGAATTAAGCCAATTTCACTGCATAGTCTGTAACAACATTTTGCTCTGATGTGCCAGAAGTCAAGGACTCGTAAAGATTTCCTGACAGTCTTCTGAAAATATGATTATATTTGCATTAAAACTCACCCTGCGATGCTCCTTAGCAGACCAGGACAATAAATGTCAAAGCGTGCTCCTGTGCTGTGGGTGTGCACGCATTGCAAGGCACAGATCAGTGTGTCATGGTGGTCACAAAGGTTTCTCCAAAACATGTTTCCGCAACATTCATTCAATACCTTGTTTTACGAGGCAGTGAAAGCAATTACTGGATGCTCAAGAGATGGCTAATCAAAAGCTGAACAAGCTTTGTTGTTATTTAAAACAGGTTTTTTATTGTTTTGTAGCTCTTAACCTAACAATCAGCATTTCAGCATCTGCTGTGGATTTTGTAATTATCCTCGACTTAGAAGACCTAGCCATTCATAACAAGTTAGGTTTTCTATACAGTCCCGATAATTTGAGCCCCATCTTTGCTCTGACTGGAGTCAATAGGAGCTTTATCATTGCCTTAAGTGACTGTTTGAAGGCCATTGAAAACCATGAAAAGAAGCCTGGGGCTGTCCATCCATTGAAAGATGCCCTCAGTAGGCTTGGCTCAAACCCTGGGAGCAAAATGAGGCCCTGTAAAGCCTTTCACCACCACCGTCATTTTATAAACACCCTTGTTTGATTTCATTGTGATTATTAAAAAATCCTGTATTCTCATATCTCTGGTTCGTTGGCAGGGATAGCTTACGGTTGTCATGAAAGGACGTTTGTCTCTTTCAAAACCGACCACAAAGCAGTTTCTGGCTGAAAGTAGTTGCTATCCTCAATAAATAATCAAGACAAAATAACCAGTTATTGGTGAGTTTCTTGCTCATGATATATATCTCTGGCAGGTAAGAGCTTTGGGATTTTGATGAAAGGGAAGTGTTTCATTACACAGTTTTCAAAAAATGTGATCATTACCTTCTCAGAAATATTAGTGAGAGCCTTCCCATTTGCTAGATACTGTCCTCCAGCAATTCAGATATTATCTACGTACTATTTATTCTTGACTGTGTAGTGTGTGGTATGATACATTTAGAATTACTTGCAATAATGCTTACAGATTTCAGCACTTTTAAGATACAAGTATTCACATACTTAAATTCAGAAATTATTTTTTTTGTCCCATACATGATGAATATATTTTAAAAGTTTGCTCTTATTATCGCGATATAAAACCAACAAAAATGGGATGATTCTTAATCTATTGAAAACATAGACTTTCTATTGCAAAGACTGACCCTTTCACTAGCCAGGATGAGGGGATGGGGGAAAAGCAGCTGAAAGCTATCAAATCCCTCAGGATCCAATAGGTAGAATAGCTTTCCCTTGTCTGTGTGAGAAGTTGAGGCTCTGTTTCTAGAACTAGTCAGTTCTATAATGTCCTTGACAATCAACCAGTAGTGGGGGAAAGCAGGTCAGTGTTCCGCATTGACTCTGTAGGTTTGAACATCTCTGAACTGCACACTGTTTGTTGCTTTCCTGTATTTTGAGTGCCTGGATTGTCTGCTCATGAAGAAGCAGTTGGGAATTAATATCTTGATCTGTAAAGACCAAGACCATTTCATGTTTTGGAGGGGAGCTCTGCCAGGGCGATCTGACAGAGGACTTGCATGTTTTCTTTGGCTTCATATAGTCACGGATTTCCTGACTTCAGATGGAAGCAGAGTTCTCACTCGTCACGAAAACATTTTTAGTTTACAATGTAACCTTTGCTCTTACTAGATTTATGCTGTATATACAGTAGGACTTCACTTTCATGTTACTGTGTGTTTCCTAAGTAAATACTGTGACTCACTTTAAGAGTCATGTTTTAGTTTGGTTCATCTGCAGAGAGGCATCAAAGGATTGTTAAGAAAAAAAATAAATCTGTATTTTCTCTCTGTGTGCCTTAAATTCATGAAAATGTCAAGATGGAAATGTGGAAACTAAGGATTTCATTTTTCTTCGTGGAAACACCCAATTCCCATAAATATGTGTGGGAGTGGGTAAGTTTATGACTTCAAAATGATGGAAGATAGTGTTTCCATAAGGGTTATGAGAGTATGCAAATATAGCAAGAGTAGTAGGTAACACTTTAAGGAAATTTCCAAATTTTATTTTGTTTTTAATTAAGGGAAATGATGTATGAAATTAACTTTGTATCACTATGTCTTCCAATTAACTTATTAACTTATACTGATAAATTAGAGAGAGAGTGTCAGTGTTCCATATTGTTCAGGAGTCAATCATTAGAGCAGTGGTAATTAACAGTGGTAGCTTTTCTATCTTGTTTGTATTTATTGAGCTGCTCACAGTATCCCTTTCCATCCAGACTGTGGCTCTATAGATTCTTACTTACCCAAAGACAAATGGTTTTTTCTCAAGCTGTTTCTCTAACCTTTTCGTAACAGTCATTGCCAGTCTGGTACCATGAATCCTTAAAACAATTCCTTGCAAGTTTATGTTAGAGTTTATTTGAAGTGGAGGTCCTTAGCGATATGATTTATGATGTGCCTTTTTGATGTACTGGTCAGCAATAATGTCATGTTAACATTTACAAGATCGGTTGTATTTTTAATATTTCATATTAGCTTTTCTAGTAGGCAAAGAAGCATTCCTTCTTTGTGGAAGTCCTTTGTGTTGGAGACTAGTGAGTTCTGATCAAACTGGAAGGTGTAATTTCTTTCCTGGTGTAAAAATGCTTAAATGTCAAAGAAGAAAAAAACCCACAATCATAAGTCAAAGAAAATGCATGCCATGTCATCTGGCCAATGGGGAAGAATATTTAATAGTGACTGTAAAGGGAATATCTCAATGTGTTACTTGGAAGTATTATTTTAAAATAACTTTTAAATTTTATTTAAAGCTTTCAAAATAAATGTATTTCTTTTTAAGCAAAGTTATTTTTAATAGCTGTGAGAGTTACTTTATAGAAGATATGCAAATCTGTACAACCTTCCGCTACTGTTCATAATGGGGAGTCTATGAGATGGAAATACACAGAGCCCACAAGTGGGGAGGAACACTAGGTGGGTATGTTTGGTGCTCTGACAGAAAATCCCAACAGATCAAACCCCACTGTGCCAGAGGTACAGAATATATGATGTTTAGGGGTAGGGTTAGCTGTAGTGGCTGTTGGTTTTGAACATGCCGTCTGGTTACCCTGTGATTGGTCTCTGTGGTACATACACAAAGTGAAGCAATCCCAAGCCTTCCCCTCACTTTCTTTTCTCCCAACAGATAATTGTAGGAGTCCTTCTGCTCTACTACCTTCTTGGAATCAGTGCCTTAATTGGAGCAGCAGTAATCATAGTCCTTGCACCTGTTCAGTACTTTGTAGCAACAAAACTCTCACAGGCCCAGAGAAGCACATTGGTAAGTGTCTTCCAACTCATACGGGTTATAAATATCACCTCTGGTAGTTATGCATTGGTCTGTGTTTGGAATTACAAAGCTAACCATGGACACTGGCCAGGAACTGATTCTCAGACATTTTGTAGTGTTCAAGAATGTGAAAACGTGATAAGCGTAAGCAGTAAAGATGCTGGGTTTGGGGGTTATATTTTTCAACAGGTATGTTTCCCTAAGTGCAAAAAATCTTAGCCAAAAGATCTTTCAACTTAGAAATGTAAATGGTCATTGACTGAAATGGCTTTGTGCAGTCAGATGGTGCATAAGTAAATGAATCATGCAGGGCAAGCTGTCCAAGGGGAAAGGAAGCAGGAATGCTGCATCCAAACTCAGACCCCAGATACATCATAGACGTGGAAATCTATCAGACTGATTTATTTAAATAACCTCTGGGCAGTCCTAACTCCCACACCATGCTCCTTAGCTGGGGAGCTTAGAGGTCTGCTAAGTCATGAGCTGTTCCTTGATCCCTCGCTTGGCTTGTCTTTAATTTGAATCACCTGCATCACTGCTGAGAAAATTACCTTGGTTCATAGGAATTACCATGCCCAGCTGCTTTGAACCTTATCCCCACATTCAGCAACTGTTGCACTGCCAAGGAAGCCATATAGAACTGTAATGGACCCCAAGAGCCTGCTGAAATCTCTTCCACCACAAATCATGGGTGGTGATGAGAGTTATTTGTGCACCTTCCTGTGTGAAAAGTAATGCCTTAACATCAACAGTATACATGCTTCTAGAAACATAGACAGCATTCATCCCTGTGGCATCCAAGCAGACAGTCAGCATCATCTAGAAATTCCTGCAGATGGGAGCAGTGCATTTGGTGTTAGAAATGTTTCCACTGTGAAATGTAGTGTGGTGCAAAGATCCTTGAGCTACCCTGAAAACTGGAAGCAGCATAACTTCCAGTTATGCTTTACTGGGAGTATAACTTTACCAGTGTGCCTGAGCCAGCTGGCCCTGCTCAGAGTCAAAGTTCCCTACAGGATCACAGCTTCTTGCTGATGTGACCTTGCTCCTTTGAAGCCTGGCATCAATATTTCCGTGTCACGTCGGTTGGGCAGAGCTGTGTGCCCAGTCGTAGCTGGTCTGTGTGTTCTGATCTCCACTGTACGTTGTCAGGGTGCCTGTTGAAAATCCAGCCAGTGTGCTGGGCAGTAGAAGTCATGAGAGGCTGCCTTGCAGGTCATCAGAAAACTGACAGGGGAGTAAAATTTTTGGTATAAGCTATCTGATTTAGGAGTGAAAATAAACTGCCCGTTCACTTGAGCTCTAGGGAATCTCATCTTTGTGAAAAATAGTGACAAAACATCTAAATGGACAGAACTAGTGGACTATAGCTGACTGGTTGCAAGGGGCTCCATACAATTTTTGTGTCATCCTTATGTTTAGGGGACAGGTACTTCAATTATACTCTTTAAGTAAATATGTATGTAAATGTTGCAGGAGTACTCCAATGAGAGACTGAAGAAGACAAATGAGATGCTTCGAGGCATTAAGCTCCTAAAACTCTATGCTTGGGAACACATCTTTCACAGCAGTGTAGAGGAAACCAGACAAAAAGAAATGACTAGCCTCAAGTCCTTTGCCCTTTATACCTCCATATCCAGTAAGTCTCTTCCTTCATTCTAATCCACTGTTCAGCTGAAGTGCTACTGCATTATTAGCTACTAATGGGTTTACCATTTGTCTGTTGAAATTGTTTCAGTTGCTTTAGGCTGTGATCCATACTCCTCACTTTCCATTTAGTCAGACTTTCAATTGAATTCAGTAGAATTTTGCCTGTGTGGGAAATAAGCCTAAAAGAGAAAGTCAAGATTAATGCTTCATAGCATTAGCTTTTCTGGAGAAAAGCTTTTAAGGGGCAAGTGTTTACCTTCAGTCAGCAATATTCTCTCTAAACATAGCATTCAGGAAGAAGCCTTTGTTGATGTTTCTTTTTCCTTTCTTCCTGCATTTTGCACAATACGGTGTGTCATAATATGTGACAGGAATTGTCTTTGTGTTGAAGCTCCAACAGATGGTACTTAACTTTCTTACTCAAAATTTGGATTTCTTATAAAAACAAGTGATTCTTAGGAGCATTTCTATATCCTAAAAAGGTAAAATACCAGAATGCTGGTGATTTCATCAGTCCATATCCAGATTCTTTTGTCTCAGATTATCTTTCAAGCTGCTTTATGGCATTTATCATCCTTTTAAGAAGAGCTAGGGCCAACTAAACTCTGTGTTTGAGAAGATCATATGCAACACCTGTATAAATTGCTACTGTAATACTTTAGAAATAAGTAATAAAGTCATACTGAAGAATGCTGTTCATATATATAATCTGTGAGATATTAATGAAATGGAACCTTTTAGAGAGAAGTATTCAAATGTCACAAGCTACCTGTACAAATACGTTCTAGACTAATAAGGAAGGCTACTCCTTAGGAAGATAACTTCCAGTCTGGTTAGTATTTGGTTTTATTCACCCAGAAGACGTGCAGCTGACTTCCTTCCCTGCCAAATGATCACAAATGTAATGCACCCTGAGGGAAAGGTCCTGATCCCACTGAATTTAACTGACATTAAGTTGAGGTTTTCATTGACTTCTGAGACCAGAATTTCTTTCTGGGGATCCTGAGCTCTCTGTGCTTGGAGAGTAGTTTCCATTTTGACATAAAAGAGAATTTAGCTGGAGTAGATTATGTGACTGGAAACTCCATCCTACACACAGATCAACACAGATGGGCTCTCTTTGTTTGCACTACTTCATGTGGCATTAACATCTATTTATAGTCACAGCCACAGGTTCAGCTGTAGGACTGAAGGAGCTGTGAAGACTTATGTGATTTTTAAATCCTCACAGTATCATTTATAACAGCTACGAAAAGGTGTATTCATCCCCAGAGTACTGACTGTTCTGTAAATCAACAGTGACATGAATGCGAAGATGTATTAAGACCAATTTTAAATATGTACTGATGCCTCTTGAAACACTTAATGTGTACATTTGCATTCTTGTTTGTATTACGTGTGATATTTGTGTGTGTGTAAGACACAGTAGATCAGTTTCTCAGCTGGGGTAAACCAATGCAGTTTTTTAATATTGTTGTAGCATATAATTTTGGCTTATAAAGAGTTCCTGTAGTTTCAGCCTAAGAATTCCTTACACCCTCTGTCTTTAGCAGAAATTGCACTGATCTTTACAAACTTACACTTTAGCAGACTACATATGGAATATAAATATAGCAGAACTTGCTGTTTTGCTTACCATATATATAAATAGAATGACAGGCGTAATCAGCACAAAATGTGTTTCCTAATATTATAGTGAATATATGATTTCATTTTTTTATTAAAGAAAAAATTAAAAAGTCAGAACATTACCAAGATTTTGTTATTGATCAAGATAAAGGCAGACACTTCCTAGAACAGTAAGAGAGCAGAAATGAGACTTCTTTTTTTTTTTTACATACTTATTTTAATGTACAATGTTGGATAGACTCTGGAATACTTTTCTAAGAATACTTAGCTATTAACATGAATGAAATAATGTGGTTGGAGCTACTTCTGTTACTGAGGAATAGATTTGCATTGGATTGCAGAAAATATACCTAAAAGTTTCAGGGCAGTGTTGGCTAGACCACAAGAAACTTCTGTTTTAAGACTGCCTGGAAATTGGATCTCACCTGCCTCTCCCCTGTGCCTGGATCCAGGTTGTACATATATGGAATGGTTCACATGTACTAAAAGAGCTGTTACAGACATTAGCTCTTCCTATAATCTTAAATGAAACATACCCCCCAGAATCAAAGCTGGGTTGCAAAGTTGGTAGCGACACCTCTTGAGCTTCAGAAGTGAATTCTTTAACTGTAGCAAGGAAGATTCCTGTGTAATTTTTTTTCGTACTGATTAGTTAGATTATCCTATGTTTGGCTAAATATTCAGGAAAGGTGGAGAAAGAAAGTAATGGTTTTCCTATTTCAATGAATTTTTGCCTAATCTGTCAGATGCTGAGTAACTCCAGGCTCTGTCACAGGAAAACAACAATAGATACTATCCTAAAATATTAAGAAAGGACTGAAAACATTTTCACAGTTTTCAGGCTGCCTTTTTCCAGTAACAAAGTACATTTGACCGATTCTAATTAAACCAAAAGTCTTAGCTGCAAACTAAACTTATGTTAGAAAACATTTTATTATTCTGTGCACTCGTGTAATTGAAAATATAAAAATAATTTTTAAAACCCTCCCAAATTCCAGTGGCTTTAGAAGCCCTTATTTGTTTGCTTGAAAGATGTGAAAGAAGCTTGAAAGAAGTACTGAAATCCTTTGATCTCACATACTGGCAAAGTTCAGATTGACTTCTTGGGAGCCACCAAGTGACCCTAGCTGTCTTAACTGCCGCGGGCTTTTCCAGCCCTACAGTATATTTAAGCTGCCCAGCTTTGTGTTTGACAGGTATGATCTTGTACTGTAGACAGCAGAAGAGCAGGATCCATCTCTGAGAAGTTTCTCAGCTTTTCTAGATTTCCTCATCAGATTCATTGATAAAAGCAAACTCACGTACTGCAGCAGACTGAAAGGCAAATTGCAAATGCCAGGATTTAATAGAATCAAGGAGTCCATAGTTGCAGGCAGCAAGCTTCGCTTCTTTTTCAAAATTTCTGTGCTGTAACTACCTCAAGTTTATTCAAAGTGTGAAAACTGGGCAGAAGGTAGAATCATTAGGAGAAATGAGTCTGAACTGAAGCTGCTTTGTATTCCAACACTGAAAAGAACATTTCCTCAGATTTTTTTTTCACCCTAATTTGAGGAGTAAACTATGACTTTCTAGGCTTTAATACATACTCATTTTTCAAAGACTAAGCTTTTATTCCGGAAGTATATATGCAAATATACCTATACTCTCAAATACTCTCTTCTGTCAAGGAATTAGAGCTACATGAAGTAACATTTTATTTATGCTTGAGTACAGACTTCAGAAGTATGTTACAGGATTCATTAAAGATCTTCTAAATGTAGGAAAAAAGAATGTCTAACAGTATGTTAAGTTGTTCAGGGAGTTTATGCCCCGAAAAGAATGGCCAAATAGTCAACCAGAAGCATTTGTGGGTCAAACGATGACACTCCACTTCAGATAAAGTAACTGGGGAGTGCTTTTACTGTCTGAACATTGGCTGTACCTGGTAGAAAAAAGATCAGGTGTAGTTTAAACAAAAAAGAAGTGGCTAGCATCTTTCTTTTCTGTTACATGTGTACCGATCTTTTAATTGTAATTTAGCTATAGATTCTATATTCTTTCTCTCTATTATTTACTTCATGAAATAAAATTGAGTGAAGGTCAAAATGAAAAGGTGGTTATTACCCTTAGGTTGCAATGGAGGAGGCAGATGTGTGGGGTAAGATGATAGCTCTGGTTCTGACTCAAGCTCCCAGATGGGTAACTAGTTTTTATTACATTCTTAATCCATGCTCCTTCCCAATCTAAAAGAGATCCCTATACAGAAATGGTATTTGTCTGCTTCTCCCCATCCATCTGTTTAATAACCTCTAAATGCCATAGTAGATGAGTTGCAATAGTGAGGGAATCTGCAGCACCAGGACAGAGACTGCTTGAGGTCAGGGAGGAAACTGCTTCATTGTTTGCATTTTAATAACTCAGGGCTCACATGAAATCAAAACTCTGTCACATTTAGGTGGTGTTATAACCTATGTCAAGCTCCTGAGGACATTTACAAAGTAGCCAAGTCTGACAAAGCTGGAGTAATTAATTATGACTAAACTAAGTCAATGATACAGTGAGGAGTTACCAATTTTTCCTTACCCCTTGAGCCGCATCCTGAAACCTGAGGGGACCACAGAGCCCTGCACTGCGGACGTGATGCCCCAGACCTCGGTCACAGCTCGATGTGCAGCCGGCCAGACCTTGTACCAGCTCGGCCTTTCTGCCTGTCGTGAGGCGGAGACCTGCAGTGCCCGTCGCCGGAGCTGCATGCGAGCTGCTGGCAGCTCCAAACCAGTACATGAGTCATCTTTATCTGGGGCGCACTGCTGGCTTCTGTCTGCTCTGATGATGTGAACTGTAGGTGTTTTAAAACAATGCACAGATATATGTAGATACTTGCACAGTTTTCCTATCTTAAGCATAGAAAATAACATTGTAAACCAGTGTTAGTAGTGTTTTAACATTTAGCATGTCTGAATGGAAATTGTTTCTAAATGTTCCTACGTGTTTTCCTTCACAGTCTTTATGAATGCAGCAATACCAATTGCAGCTGTACTTATAGTAAGTATGGACTTTTCTAAGTAGTGTTAATTACAACTGCATTTTTCAAGTATAAGTGGTGTGGAAATGAGGAAGGAGGAGGACAGGATTGCAGACCTGCTACACGTTTGCAATTCTTCTGGGAGAGGATGGAAAATGCCCACTTGTCGTCTGTGACCAGAAGCAGCCCAGAGTATGCAGCACTCCCCGAAACTGTTAAGAGAGTATAAATTAAGATTCTGTAAATGAAATGCTTATGAAATTTGAAGTCTTTGTGCATTTCATTCTTTATGACAAAACGCTGATGATGATGATTTCTGTCTCTTTGTAGACATTTGTGGTCCATGCTCATCTGACAACGAAGGCTGACTTCTCCCCATCAGTGGCATTTGCCTCCATCTCCCTGTTTCATATTCTTGTGTCTCCATTATTTCTGCTCTCCAGTGTGGTTAGATCCACTGTCAAAGCATTAGTAAGGTGAGAACTGTGAAATTAATGTCTTTGCTACCACCTCTTTGACTTTTGAGAATGTGTCTATTGCTCATTTTGCAATTCTAAGTTTAGAAACAGTGTGGTGATTATTTACCTGTTGTTGTAAATTGCTTCCCAGCTTTTTGCTTTGCATGGTTCTCTTAGTTGTAGCATGTAGGCTGAGTTCTTTGCTAATAGTTGTCACAACCAGTATTCAGTGGTCCGCAGCTAGTACTTCATTATGTAGGATGGGTTGAGCTATATCGATACTGCATGCAACATATATGTGGTAGAAGGAAAGGAACTGAAAACCTCCTGAGGATTTAGTTTTGTAAATCGTGCAAATATTTCCTCACATCATACATGCAGGAGGGGAAAAAGGTAATCACAAAAGCACATGTGTTTCAGCGTGTATCTCTTGGGCTGTGCTCAGCCCTCCCACCCACTGCCTGAGAGGTTGCCTGCTGGTGCAGAGTTAGACTTAATCAAATAAACAAAAAAACCCACATAAAAATCGCTGTTAAGTGTGACAGTAAGGTAATATGTAAATGTCTACTCCAGACTTGATGAATTCTTAATTTCTTATGAACATGTTAGTCTGAGTGTTCAAAACCTCAAATAACCAGTAGAGCTGCTGTTTCACTGGGAGTTTTGCTTTAAATATCAACAGATTTGTGTAAAAAAACTCTTAATGCTTTTCATATGCAGTGTAACTCTGCCCGACTGATAGGAGAGGAAGAGTGAGTCTGGGCTTCTTACTTTATTGGGACTTTTTTGTGCCCTTCAATATAGCTGTCTTAAGAGCTTGTCTAAACTAAGAGCCAGATACTGGGCACCAGCCCTTGCTTAATTACCTTTGTGTCACGTTGGAGATGGAAAGGAGACTACAGCAGGAGGCTGAGCTTGCCCTCGCTGTTTCAAAATTCCCTGACAGTGCAAAGTCACAGCTGTGTCCTCTCTCCTAACAAGTGTGAAATCTGAGAGCGTCGGTGGCTGACATGAAATGTTCTGCAGCCACTGTGGTGGTAGTCCCCAGAGTCATGGCAAATGGTGATGCTAAGATTGCAGCCAGCAAAGTAGCTGGAGGCTCACACTGGCACTGGTAACGCACATTTATTTTGGCTTGTCTAAGGATTTCTTTGTAAATGAATTGTGTGCCTGTTAATGCTGCAGGAGCAATTCTGAAGTAATTAGTATCAACTAACTAGTAATTGTTGCTAGCCGGGAGTTCTTCATGAGTTATTCTGTAGTTATCTTCTTGTTAGCAGGCTATTGCCCTGCCATTTTGTAGTGCAGACAGGAATCCCCTGGTTTAGCTCTGTAACAAAGTTGATGTGATCCCCGTCCTCCTGGCGGGCTGCGTGACAGTAACCCAGGCAGTGTTCAGAGTGCGTTGCTCCTCAGTGCTACTCTAGCTGTGTCTTCTGAGTACCCCATCCATCAGCGCAGTATTTTGGAACCATGTGCCAGATATTTTCAACACAGGTGGACACGTGCTTACCTAAATAGTTTGGTAAGTGTGAAAAAGCAAGAGTTACTAGCTGTATTTGTGCCAGTTGAGCACAGCTAATGTTTACTTGTTATCACTGTGTCCTTCTAATAAGATCAGGTAAAGGTAAGCTTACTTGATAAAGTCGTGCTTCAGCTTATTTTAGGCTGAGATATTCTAAATTATCAAGTGTACAAGACAGCTTCTCCTGTAGTGACTGAAAGGAGCTGCCTAAGTGAAGATGATCCAGCTGTGGAGTGGGTGTTACTGGCTTTGCATCTCAGGCACTCACAAACCCTGCTCTGTTAATATTGGCTACAGTCTCTGATGCTAGATGCTGTTAAGGACAATAATCTCCACAAATAAACTTGTCAGTATCTTGAGTCATTACACATGTGCCCAGTTGCAAAGCATCCTCATGGATTGTCATTGACACTATCAGAACACCTGTGTGATTGATTTCAATGGTAAAACAGATTTAAAGCTCCTGTTTCACATAGGGCCATGGTAAACTTTCCAAGTTATGGGGCTACGGTGTTTGCTTCTGAGAGGGGGAACTGTTGAAAGTCTTTAAGAAGGTGATAAATTCTGTTTTCTCTTTGAAAAGCTTTTTTTTTTTTTACTATGTAGTGTGCTTGTGCTATTGAAAATTAAGACTGAGCAGGTCTTCAAGGACAAAGGGTTCAGCATACAATTTTCCATCAGCAAAGGTCAAGTAGCAAGTGGCATTCTGTATCTTACTGCATTTAATATGAAACCACTTTTCCAGTCAGCTGTGCAAATAACCATGTTTTAATCAATACATCTATTCTGTGGCTTAAAAATAAGCTCCCCTGTGGAGATATTGCAATGCTAGTGAAATTGTGATGTCAGCAAGAGCTCTACAGAGAATGTACTTTTTTTATTCTTTAAGAATATAGAATGGTGTGGCATCCTGAAATATGAGTTGCTGTCTCTAACAAAAGGTTTTCTCACAGCTGTACTGTTGGCACAGGAGCCAGCAGTTCCAGAATTAAGCAGAGTGTTGGGCAGAGGGCTTGCAGAGAGAAGTCTTGGCACTTCAGTACTGCCACCTTGATACACAACCAGAGAGCAGAGAGCAAAATCAAACTATTGAATGGCTTACTAGAGACATGGTCTTATTTGAGTATGTGTGGTCCAAGAATGTGTTTGCTGTCTTCTCTTCCTCCCCCTCTAGACCCTGGAGTAGATGCACAGGGTCCTTCTCTGTCTGCTCTTTCTATCTTCAGAGCAATTATTCAAATGTCAGTGTAGTTTTACTATAGAGAATGTAGGAGCAGCCGCACACAAACTCCATATAGGCAGCATCTAAACCATCACTTGGTACATTTAAAGGCATTTAAAATGTTCTTTTAAACATTTTTTTCACTGAACAAAAAAGGTAAGATTATTCCTAGCTGTGCTTTTCAGAGCTTTGTGCACATAGGTAGAAATATCTCTACTGACAGGGCTTCTAATTTCTGCCTTTGAGACAACAGACTTTCCCATTACGGATTTTGGCCTGACATCGAGCCTGAGTTCATTATTACTCCTCTTCGTCCATCCCAAATACTCATTCTCCCCGTTTTCAGTTTCTTAGATGGTAGTGCCTGCTCTTGCTGAATTCACCCCTGTGTGTATCTCTTAGTCCTCAGATGCCATTAACAAGTGGGCAGGTTGGCAGAAAAACTGTAGAACCAGTTGTTTCTTATGGAGTCCCTGGGTGGCTTCCACCCCTCCTTGCAGGACAAGTGCCAGCTGTGTGGAGCCTGCTTTAGGTGGTGCTGTAATGCCTTGGTCCAAGCACTGTTTTGGCACCAGCGAGGTATCTCATGAGGTTCTTAGAGGAAACTAGGTCTCCTCCTGAAGAAGAAATCCTTGGCAGTGGAACGCAAAATAAATGCTGGATTTTTAATTTTTATTTTTTAAGATTTGCATTCGAACAGACAGATAGCCATGTGTCACTGTGCTACAGTGGCGTCATTTGTCTGTTTCTCTCCAATTAGCCTAAAGCTATTTATATTGATTTTTTTATATTGAAATAATTTTTTTCAGCCCTTGTCCATAAATTTATTTTTAGGAACTTAAGGCCTTCTGGCACTTTATAATTTCGGAGACTGATAGTTAACTTATTTCTAGCTGATTGAGCCCCTTTGATGTTGAGTTCATGATTCAATCTACTTCCTTTACAAATTCAATTTGCTGTCCCTGTGAGTAGATTAGACATACATTTTACAAAGTCAGGTACAGAGGTAAAATTGATGTAATGATCTGTTAAATGTCATAATAAAGGCACATTATCTCTTAGCTAATTAAATCTTAAGCAGCTTGTGAAGATTTTATGCCTTCTCCTTTGTTGCTGGTTGTCAGAATTCCTTTTATATCTCATCTGTTGAACACTCTTCTGTTAAGCTGTATTACTTTATCATGTTACCTCGTACACATCATATTTCATCATAGCTCGTTGAATTTAGCTCACAGCGTAGAGATTTCATCAGACTGCTAGTGTTCATAAGACTGTTCAGTAGAACTGACCGTGCAACACTTCAGTAACATAAATGACATTAATTCTACTTCAGCATGTGGCTTCAAAACAAGCTGCTTTGTAGCTGGTTCTGCATCCCACCAAATGCCTGAAAAAAGTTTTTTTTTGTGTAATCTCTCTGGTCATATCAGAAAAGACAAGACTTAAGAAGCATCTGCACAAACTGTTAAAATATCATAGCTGTTAATAGACAACAGGGCAGCTTTTGTCAGCTTCCTTGCAGCAACTCCTTGCACGTTTTTGTATGCCTGTAACAAAATGAAAATGAACAAACTATGCAGCAGACAGTGGCTGAAGTACAAAGGGGATGATGCTCCATAATAAACATTGCAGTGGACAAAAGTTTTGCATTCCAAGTTCAGGTGTGATTCTCTTTTTTTCCCTTTCAGTGTGCAGAAACTGAGCGAATTCCTGTCAAGTGAAGAAATTGGAGAAGAGCATGATAAATCTTCAGAGCTAAGAAGTGCAGATAATCACAGCAAATACCAGGCGGTGGTGAGTAATGCTGTTTAATTGCAAGTGAAGTGGCTGGAGTAATTTGTACCCAGAATAAATTTTTTACTTTTCCATTTCCTACTGGATATTTTTTGCAATTGCAAAACCTCTTTTTTATATCCTGAACTGTATAGGTCATAACATGGTTGCTTGTGTTAGGGACATTTTGCTGGTACTGCTACCAATTACTGCTTATTTCTGTCTTTCTGATCTTGCACAGCCACTCAAAGTTGTTAACCGCAAGAGGCCTGCCAGGGAAGACTGGAACAATTACAGCTCTCACATGAGAAGACCCATTAGCATCACAGAAGCAGATGATTTTTGTGTAAAGGTGATATGAAGGTCACTCTAATAACACTTACTATACCTCACTAATAGTCACTTCTGTATTCTGACATCAGTTTCAAGTTCAAGAACCAGCATTTGATGTGAACTGTCAGACACTTGTGCTCATGTCAGAGATTAACCTCCACCTTTCTTTGCTATGCCTTTCATTTTAAGAATTGACTATTGACCTCTATATTGTGATCAGCCTCTAGATTTTGCTCAGCAATTTTCGATTTGAAGTGTTTAAGTCATCAGCCCTGTTCTCATGACAAAAATTTCCAACTTAGAACATAGAACAGCCCCGGTTGGAAGGGACCTTGAAAGATCATCTGGTCCAACCTTTCATGTATTTCAGACTCTTTCTTCCACTTCCAATGCCTGTAGAGAAAAATGGTATGAAGAAAATGGAAAATAATTAGTTTTAGACATTTCTAAAATAATCTTGTCACGGGCCTTCCCTTCATCCTTTGGAATTCCTAGTAGCCTTTCAACATGAACTAACAGTCAAAGGCCTAACTTCTTTGAAGAAAAAATTAAAATTACACATGCCACTTTGAAGACTGATGGTCTTGATTTGCTATAAACTGTCCAGAAGTAATAAAAATCATGATGGTTATTACAGTGATGACACTGTTTATTTAGGAAGTCTGCTATTACATTTGCATTTCTGGCACAAGAGAAAGAATAATCCAGTTTCATGGGAGTAAGTAGGACAACTGATAGTGCTTTCAGGATTTCTTTTTTTTTTTTTAGAGGCTGTCATCTGACATGCTGCTTTGGTGCAGGGTTCTTCTTGAATAGACTTCCAGGAAAATAAGAGGAATATTTCGGAGAGGTTTTTTGGGGGGGTATCAAAAGACAGCCTGGAGTGACAACAAAAGAGTTTGTCGCAAAGGAGAGGCCGGAGCAGTAACCTCTGTAAGGCCAGTATTTATAAGGTCTTGAATAGGAAGCCAGGACTAGCTATAATCTTTGGCTCCATCTGCTGACATTGTTGTCACCGGTGGTACCTGGGTCAGGGATCTGTGGTTTCTAAGTACGTCTGTCTGCAACTCGTTGCCCGTGAAGGGGCATTTTTTGAGAGAGGATCTTCTGGCTGCCTTCAGTCATCTAGAGGGAGGAACACTGCACTTCCTTTTGCTCATTTTTTCAGGTTGTTTCCCAAGATAAGAGTATCACTTTTTTTTTTCTCCAGGGAGAGGTAGAAGTGTCCTGTTCCACTCTTCTGAGATCAAAAAATGTTGTACCTCGCATTGCTGAAAGGCTTTGAAGGCTTCAGTGGCTTTGAAAAAGTGAGAGAAGAGGGTCCTGTATAAATACAGGCCTTTTAAAATTGTCTCCTGTTTCCTATTTTTCACAGTATCCATGGAAATCTCTTCCATTTAAAGACCTGAACAGGCTTTGTTTCTTGTTTTTAGTCTTCCTCAGTGAAAAGATTTCTGTATCTAGTAAAACCTAGGTTATCTGAGAGTCATATCAAAAATAAAAAGGAAAATCCCATAATAGGCAGCAACATCTAATTTCTGTGGAAAGTTCTACATATCTGCTTGGAATTTGGACTGTATAATTGTTGTATATGCTGCAGTGTGTCTAGAGTGACATTCAGTGCTCTGCAGAGAGCAATCTGTGACTCTGTATATAATTTAATAGTATGGTAATCATTTCACTTTTTTCATGTGCCTGCCTACAAATAACAAAACCCTTAACAGCTTCTTTTTCCTTAGGATTCTCCATAATTTTCTAATCGTGCTTGTTTAGAGTTCAGAGATTCTTGCACATCAGAATACAAGCCTTTACAAAATCAGTCACTTGAAGATCTGTTTCCTGCATTGAGCAAAGGCTAACTCTGTTCCTGTGCTCAGTGTAATGAAAACAGAAGTGTCTGATGTCGAAACAAGAAGTCAGCTCTAAAACCAGTTTTCTGTTTCTTGTTTCTTTCCATCTTGGCATATAGATAGCAAATGGGTTTTTCACTTGGACACCTGAAGGACCTCCAGCATTGTCCAACATTGATATCCGAATCCCTCAAGGTACAAAATGACATCACATGTACAGAATAAGATGTTTTTCCGTGAGCATTTGGTGAATCGGAAGCTTATATACGCCTTTTTCTCTCACAGGTCAGCTAACAATGATTGTAGGACAGGTTGGCTGTGGTAAGTCATCTCTCTTGCTCGCCATACTTGGTGAGATGCAGAAGATCTCTGGGAACATATTCTGGAGCAGGTAGTGCTATTTATAAATTCAAGCTTGAGTTGAATAGTAATGCAGAAAAAAAGCCAAAATCTATCCTGGGAACCTTTTTGTGGAGTCAGGGGTTTTGTAGGTGTACATTCAAGATACAGACCTTACCCTATCAGTAGGGGAACACATCAGAAAGAACCTCCAGCCAGGGTCAAACAAGGTGTCTGTTCCATTAATGGGAATAGATAACCGTACTTGGGCATTTTGCACTCCAGCAACATAACTTGAGTGAAATCATAACTAATTTGGAATCAGAATTAATTAGCTGAAGTGTTGTGCTGCTATGGAATGGCATTTACACTTTCAGGCCTGAGCTCATGTCTTTGAATGGAACTATAAAGAGGTACTGGCTCACCAGGAGCAGTCCTTGGCTGTGCTTTTAGATGTGTGCTCCATGCCAGCACTGCCCTAGTGCCTGAGAGAGATTTTTATAAGTGGCAGTGACTCAGGGTACTCCCCACAGTGCATCCTGCCCGATTTGACAAGAGAGGGATAGTCTTGTCCTTCCCTGCCTTCCCAAGGGGACACAGCAGCTGTGCTCTGACAGCCAGATACAGGCTGCGCTTGTGTGTGTCTTCTGTTCTGGCTATGAAGGGAGGAAAAAAATGCTAACAAACTCCAACAGCTCTACTGTTAGGACTTGGTCTCTTGATCCTCAAACTAAGTGGCAGATGGTATAATATATTGTTACTTCTGTGTGTGATTTCCAGTAAATCGCTGCCACCTCTAGTACACTGCCTGATCAATGTGTGAGAATGTTTTTGACCTGTTAATTTTACATTACTAGATTTCCTAGCCATACAGACTATGCTTTGCCTTTTGGGATATTTGTAGGTAAAGCTTGACAAACTGCAGGAGAAACTAGAGAAACAATTTTATTTCCAACTGATTGGGAATGAAGGAACAACAGTGCAACTGTAAGTCTAATCCATGCACTCTGATGGACAGAGGGTCTTTGTTACCCAGTGGGTTCTGCACTGATTTTGTGAAACAATTCTCACAAATTCCCTGAGTGTTTGTAGACAGATATTATTTATATTCAGCCTTCATGCATAAGCCAGTCACCCTACTTAAGAGTTGCACATGCTTTAATAGTAATAGTACAGGGAAGGAAGGTTCCCTAGTTTATAGGTAGAGAAAATGAAACGTAGGAAGATGACCCTTTCAGCTGGTGAGGGAGGCAAGAACAGAAGCCAAAGTTCCAGAATGTGTTGATCTATCCACTAAAACATACTTTCCTAAGCAGAAAATCAGCATATGTTGAGGAATCGTGTAGAATCCCTGCAGCCTGATTAGGTGAACTAATTTCATTTCAACAAGGCTGTAATTTTTTACAGATGACATAACATGATTAAGAAGTGTAATTTGAATGTCTGATGCTAAACTAAAACAGATGACATGATGGTTCTGATCAGACCGTGGTTTTAAATAGCACTTGTTTAGAAGCATGTACTTCACAACAGTGTAAAGGTCAGAACTGGTTTTCATGTCTTCTATATGTTACAAAGTATCACAAGGTAAAATTCAGTTGTTATCACATTTGCTTTGCTATCTGTCAGATATGTATAAAGGGGCTTGTGGCTGAAACAATCTTAGCACTGTAAGTGCTGGCTGCACTGGGACAGATTATGTTTTGTCTCCTCTTTCAGAGCTGCTACCATGTGCACTCATCTATTCAGAACGATGGATGCAGTCAGTGTAGGCTGGCACACCTGTGTTGTAAAGCTATCAGATGAAAGCTTCCTTAATTTGATAAGAAAATACTAAAGCCTGACCAGGTACATGCAACATTATCCCAGGTTCAAGGAGAGTAGTCTTATCAAGTAATCATCGGAGCTTGTAGCCTTAGCTCAGGCAATAAAATGTGTCACCAAAACCAGGAAGATCCTTGTTACAGCTCTTTGTTCAGGATGAGATGAGTGCTTGGCTTCAGTCGTTCCCATTACAGAATAGTCCTGAATTATTTCATTCCAAATTTCCTTCCCCTTCCCTTCCTCCAAGGTCACAGCTATGAAGATGAAGGATACATCCTGCTGACATGTCACTCAGTGCTCAGGAAATCTGGATTCTATTCCTGGCCTTTCCCTTGGTCTAATATAGGATAACCTTGCACAAGTCATTTCCCTCCTCTGTGCCTCCATGCTCTATTGATAAAACAGGATTAACTGCATATCATCTTTGTTTGCTTCCTATAAAAAAATATTTGTCTCAAAACATTAAAAAGAAATTTAATTTATTTCTGGACTAGGAATCAGGTAATCAGAAGTGCCCATTTGTGATTTTATTTTGTTGTTTGTATTACACTGTGTGCCTGAAAGATCAGGGCCCAGATTACTGCCCCTTATCCAAAGCAGGCTAAGAGCATCTCAGCATAAATATTTGATAATATGGTTAGAGATTAACAAAAATAGAGAAATCATTATTTACACTCTGAAGAGATGGTAAATAGTATTGATTTGACTGGTTATTGAGTAAATAATTATAGAATATGCCATGCTAATTTCTTCTGGATGGTATCTCACTTTAAATAGTCCCAGTTCAAGTCCAGGGAGCAGTTCATAGTATAAGACTTTTTGGAGTAAATAATATCAGAAAATTGACCTAAAGGATAAATACTTTGCTCAAACAAAATTACGTCATATGTTTCTAAACTGGACATATATACTCCCATGTGAATCTAGAGTCTTTATCATGTGAAGGAAGTGCTAGATTTGTTAAGATTGCTAACAGTAGATTTTCTTCTGCTCAATGTGGAGTTGACTGTTTTCATCAAATGACAATATTTTAAAGTTATTTTGATGCCTAAAGTTACATTGATTTTTATAAATACATGTTTACTTGAGTTTTCAGAAACATCCAGGTCCTTTATTTAAATTGGAAATAGAGATCTGAAGGCTTGAAAATCTCAGTAGGCACATATTTGCACCTTTAGACATCCATATGCCTGGAAGAAATTAGATCTAGACCTCATCATCCAACATGCAATACTTTGAAATTTCAAAACTGGTAGAAGATGAGTGCATCCTTAATTGCCAGGAGTATGCAGGGAAAAGGAAGGATAAAATGAAGTCAAAGTGTGTTGAAAAGGCTGAGATAGAACTCCAAATGGAAGATTCATTTCTTGCAGCTACAGAACAGAAACACAGACCAGGGAACTGATCTACCAGTACTTGCATGTGAGAATAGTGGCACCTGTGGCTGTCTATAGGAAAAGAACATGGTTACCAGGGGGAGTTGGGACACTGCTGTGTGCTGCGGCATCTCCTGTCGCTCTGGGAAGCGTTGGTGCCCTGTGAGCACAGTGCTGTGCCCCACTTTCGGAACAGAAACTGGAGCCCAGTTGCCCACCTGCAGTAAGCACAGGTAGGCTGTGCTGGGCCTGCCACGAGGGACCCTGGCTGAGCTTTGCTTCTGGAGCTACTTCGATGGATTACATGAGCTGCAGAGCTCTCCGCCTGTCTCAAGGGCTGGTGTAGGAGAGCACCATGGAGAGGGAGCCTCTGTCACGCACAAACACTGCATGTCACAAGTTACCAGGGTGTTCCCTGGCCGCCTGCGGGGTGGTCCGTGAAGCAGGAACCACTGTTTGTTGTTCAGGGTCCCTGTGCTGTGCATGGAAGGGCTGGAAAATATAGTCCCTGTTTCAGCCCCTTGATAGTTTCTGTAAAGAATGTGTTGCTATTTAATGATATGCAACAGGTTCATGGGTTTTTGGTGCCACTGAGTTCACCGAGTCACCAAAGACCAGTGGAGTGTGAGGTAACTGTGGAAAACCTTTGGTCAGTACGCTGGCCTTTGGCATAAAGTCACTAGTGGCTGGCTGGCACTCTCAAATCCTACAATAAATTGAACTTAGATATGGTTATTGTTTACTGTGCATTAACTTTTTGGAATTGTCTCAAACCAGCCTTTTAACCTGCAGGTAGTTTTCTTTCCTGGATGTTTATAAGCAATTGGTGTTACCAAAAAGTTAATGAGACTGTTCTCTTTAAAGCAAGAAAATCTTTGTTCCTTCTTGATTTTGTTGATATCACTTGACACACAGATTTTTCATTCTTTTCAAGGGAAGTGAATTTAGCATCAGTAATAAGTATGGCCAGCCATGCTCACAAAACTCTGTGAACATCTTGGTACATGCTCAAAAATAGCAAAAACAAAACCTAGGGCATCTCAGTTCTGTTAGCACCTGTAGGATAGAGGGGAGGTGATTTTATTTGTTGACTCAAATTAAATGTTTATAATGAAAAAAACTGTCCCCAAATTTTTTTTTGTCTGCTAAAATCAAGTCAGTTTGTATAGAAGGAACAGATGCTGCACTGCAGCTCTGTGATAAATACTGTTTGCAGTCTGTACACTAAGTGGAATTTAATAGTTTTTCTTTCTGGGGCAGATTGCCTGTGCTTGCTTAAATAAACAATCTTTGCTTTCTATTTGTGATGCAGCTGTACTTCTGACAGTGAGACGGGAGAAGATGTCAGGTACGGTATTGTACTGGTCTTCCTACTGAATCGATTGCAATAGAAGGAACCAAAGGTTTCTAAAATCTGTGCTTAACGTTTTCAGTGAGACCTCAAAATCAGTGAAACTGTATTCGCTGGCTTAAGATAAAATTTTTGAAACCACTTATGTGACTTACAAAGAGCTGGATTTCCTTTATGAAAACATTGCCCTTTGGCAACTTTGAAAATTGTATCCTAACTTTCCTGTACATCTTTGAAAATCCTCTTAAAGTCTGAACCAGATTATTCCCTAATGTTGCACTTTTAAAAATAGTATCGAGTATTGCTTTGAAGGTTTCATTTATTGAAGTAAATTCTTTCCATTACTCTTCTCCTCATTTTTTGCATCCTGTCACAAGTTTATTTTCTCACCTAGCATTCTTCAGGCACACTCAAACTGAGAAGTGTGGGGAGTAGCAGATTAGTCCATCTGTTGGCAAGGGATGCTTGCAGGGATATTATTTTTACCTGATTAACATAGCTCAGCTTGGATTTTGGGAATAGCTACCAAATGAACCGAGAGCAAAGCTTTCTGATGTGGTTGTGATTTTAGTGTGGCGCACGAACCTCTAGAATGGTAAAACTTGTAAAAGTGACAATCCTACCCCTGCTGAAGTCACGAGAACTTTGTGATTGAAATCAGAACAGGAACAATGTCATATGATGTCCCTTTTCTTGACTTATGCTAAACTGTGTGTCTTCTACTGACCAGAATATCTTCTTGGTTCTGTGATGCACCAAGTATTCTGCTTCCTTTTCTTTAGATTTACTAGCCTCTTCTCTCCCATTTATCTTTTTTCTAACTTGTTACCTGGTCAGACCAAGCCCTGCAAAACTTCTGCTCCTAGCCATGTGTAGTGTAAGAGGGACATCATGTATCTAATGACTAAGCCTCATGGTAAAGGATGCTGGAAATCTCACAGCTCTTTCTGTAAGAGAGGCTGCAATTTCTGTGCCAATTTAAAGTGAAACCATTTGAACTCATTAAGATACAAGAGAATTAGACATACATGTTTGAAGCTGCTAAGAGGATGGTAGAAAACAGTAAGATAACATGCACAATATGCAAAATATATTGATATATTTTAATATATATAACATACAAAATATATTTAATATGGCAAACATTTAAAAAGTAGGAAAGAATATTAGACTGTATGAAAAGATTACCTCCATTATCATAGGTTCTGGGAATCCTAGTTACGCTGGGTAAGTGCTGTAGGAATATGTCTGGTGGTGTCATTGCACTAACATCCTGTAGAACATTTTTGGCGCTCTCAGAACAGAGTATTGAGTATTTGCTCATAGGTGTGGATACTTTCTGAGATGTTACTTAGCACTTCTCAAGGCTGAAACTTTAGCCATACCTTTTTTAGGTCAATATCACATGGTACAAAATTTTAGCATATTTAAGAGAGTTTTATTTCTGTTATGCAGTCATTTTGTTGTATTTTTAATTATAGCATAGTGATTGTACTTTAAGGTACTATTTACATTGTGTAAAATAATTGATTAAAAAAAAAACCCCACAACTCACTTGTGTTTGTTTTCTGCAGCTCAGAGAAAGAATCTCCTATTGACACGGAATTCAGGTAAAACACTTCAAAAAATAATGGGAACCTCTAGTGGTCCCTTCCAACCCCAGCCATTCTGTGACTCTGGGAGCATTTCTCAGAAGTGTCTGCCCTTAATGAACTATTCCTCCTTTTAAGGCAAAGGGATTGTCTCTGTATGCAGCTACTGCAAGATTGAGAATTGAAAACAAGCAAGTGACCTTTGCAGTTTAATAACAGTAAAAAAGTATACTCCTGAATACACAGGACTGGCAATATCAGAATGTTCTATTACCCTCCATCAGGCTGAAAATAATGGAAGCATATTCTTCTGTTCATGCAGTAATAGTATAGGACAGAACAGGACACATTTCTCTCATCTGGAGAACATTTGATTTTGAGTTGTTGACTCATGTTAGAAATTCATGAATTGTGCAAAATAAGAAAGATAAACCCGTAGTAAGCAAAACAAAACACCCAGGGAAGTCTTTGCAGTGTATTATTTCCTCTACCATTATAATCGTAACTGTGTTGCATTATAAGTGCATCTATTTTGTTTTTAAAATCCCCAGCATTTCCGACTTGGTAGGTTGATTCATATATATGGACGTCCCTTAACTAGTCGTCTTTTCAGCGATCTTGAATGTGTACTGAGCCTAGTGGACTTAACAAAATGAAATGTGAAGATAGATTAATAACTTTAAACAAACAACCTTGACAATGTTATTTCTGATTCTAAATTAATGAACAGGCTGGATGCTGTATTAGCCAAAGCGCATAGTCTCTAGGGAGCTCAGGGAAGGTTTTTCCTACTTACTGTGAGGTTGGATTTTGCTGTCTGCCTCTGATAATTAAGAGGCTGCGGTTAGTCTATCTTGTGTTATTAAAGGAAAAAAAAAATACACTCCACTGTTGAAAATGCAAGTTTGTTTATCCAGTCTGGGGGTAGGAGGCGGTTACTTCCACATGCAGAATAAATTCCTCATAAGTCTTGTCTGTTAAGCCATTTGTTTGCATCCAGTGTAAGTGTGAAACCTAAGGCAGGTTCAAGGCAGGCTTTCAGAGAAAGTGTTGCATGCTCTGTTTCAGAATATTTTGTTCTCTGGATTTTTGGCCACATCTCTGTTTCATTATACGTTTTGTTTGCTTGCCCCTTTACTGTAAAAAGCCCTGTAGACATGCAACAGATTCTCCTGTGATCAGGTACTTGCAAGATTTTTGCTTATGTCAGAATATGATCTGCCCTGATATGTCATCCCAGTGTCAATTTAGATTAATTTAGAGGGGTTTACTAAATTCTGAGTCCATAATGAATTTTGGCAAGCTCATTGCTTGTTCCCAAATGTCTTGAAGTAATTGATTCTTCACTGATGGCCTAAAAGCAGCACGTAAGCCGGATGGTGATGGTGTTCCCAGGCATTGTGCTGGTTCTCAGGATGGAGTGCAGCTTACTGGCACTGCCCCTACTTTCACTGAACAAAAGAACACTTCTTACAAAAGTCGTAAAAACATTTTCCTCAAAACCTTGCTACTATTTTTCAAAAAATAAATTAGAAGTAACTTTTAAATCACCTTGAGAATTAAGAGCAGCAAAGACACAGTTTCAAGCAGTGAAGAGGAGGGGAAGGGAATACATGTTCATCTTGGAATGCTCAGAGCAATTTTTTCTCAATCACTGGGATGAGAATTTCACACTAATTGAAAAAATGCTTCCCTCTTGAGACAGAACTGAATGCTCTTTGAATTAAATTTTGGGGCTGCACACTGGGCTGCCTAGGGGATTATTTCTGTCTGTTGTTGTTTGGGTTTTTTTTTTGTTTCATTTTCCAGTAAAGAGAATTCATAAAATATAATTAAATTCTAATAAGCCATCAGACATTTGAACTTGGAATCATGTTAGCAGGGTAGTGTAACTGTGTGTTCTTTCAGGTCATCAAAGAAAATTAGATCCTATAATGATTTCTAAGCAAGCTTGGTGAAAGCCTGAAAAAATGAGCAGGGCAAGTGACTTTAACTCCTGATAAAAAAAGATAAAGTGCCTGGTGTATTTTGACAGCTTATGGTTTGAATTGCATTCAGGTCCAACTAGAAAGAGGCTGCTGTAATGGCTGTCGAGCAGACAAAGGCTACGTTTGGGTGAGAGGTCCTATCGTGTTATTGGATTAGCTGATATAGCTGGAAAGAAAACAGATATGCTTTTAGGTGTATGATCCCTCTTTTGGCCCTTTTCTGAAGAGACGGTGATATGCCAATGAGTTTTCCAACAGTATCAGTTGCTCTAATAAAAAATGTTGCCTTTCTCCCAGCTCTGCCTTTCTGAGGTCCTTGGTGCACAACAGCCAACAAAAGCACTAACTACTTCACTAGTAGGCAGATAGTTTTATTTTTAAATAGTAATAATAATAATAGCAACCCCGATGAAATAAAATATGTATGGTATAGATCCTGTTGACCATACCTGGTAAGTTGTCCCTTCGGATGGTACATTATGGGGGCAATTCCACGGGGAGAAATTCAGCAAATATTTTTTGTCTGTATTCTCTTTTCTTGTCTTTATAGACTTAGAATAATTTCTACACGTTATGACTCAAGTTCGCTTCTTGGAATGGGGAAAATAAATGGGGGGGG